GTTGGGATCTCCGGGAATCGGGGCTCTGAGCCGATCCCGCAGCCTGGGGCGCTGGTGGACCCGCGATCCCCTCTAGCAGCTGGTGGTGGGAGTGGGGCCTGACTAGCGTGGTGGGGGGACGGGGTTCTCACGGGGTAAGGGGCAGTGACAGTGTCCTCTCGCTCTGTGCTCTGGCCTTCGCCACGCAGCGGAGAGGAAGGCGCTGCAGGGCTGGGCTCCGCCTCCATCCTGGCGGCTCCCGCGGGCCCCTTCCTGAAGGTGGGGCCGGAGGCGGCGGCAGGACTCTCCTGCCCAGGAGCGCAAGGCCCCCTTACAGCCCTGACCCTGGACCTCCCAGGTCTCTCTGCTTCGCTTTCCGGGTTTCTCTCCGCGTGTCCGATGTGAGCAGGTTTAATACCCGTCAGTTCCTGTCATCTGCAGAATGGATTTTGTAGTATCCTTCCGAAGGGGCTGGAGACCGGTGCGCTGCCGGCACTGAGCGGGGGTCGCCTGGCGGGACAGCTGAAGTTGGGCTTCTCCAGGCCGGCCTTTTGGTACCTCTGAGTCCCTGGCCAGCTGCTGGAGGCTTCCCCTGGCAGGGGCTGGAGGACAGAGACTTTGAGACCCAGGCCCAGGTGAGGGGGTGCCGCGGGCCCCCAAGCTGCAGCCTTAGGCCGAGTGTCCCGCCCACCAGCCCCAGACAGCCTGCAACTGCGCGAGCGGCATTTGCTGTCGTTCCTTAACTGCGGCCCCAAATTCTGATTTACAAACTACTGCTCTGCGGGGCCAAGAGCCAGAGCATCTTGGCTGGGTCCTGCACCCCCAACACCTTCCACTAAACCCAGAGATAGATTTGGAGAGAAATTCCTGATGGAGCCAAAACCGATGCCAGCATCTAAAGCCGCCCCGACCCTGAGCGACTCAGAGGACAGTTATCCCAAGGGAAAGTTACTGTGTTTCTAATCCCGAGGACAGCTTGCGAGGGAGATTTGGGTCTTCTTTTAATAATGAAAAGTTAATGCGCGGTCTCGTAATTATCTTTACCGGAAGCCCCTCGTTTAATCCGCAGATTTTGCAGAGGACCCATCTCAAGGTGCCGCCGGCCGCAGATCCACTTTGCGGGCTCGGCTCCGGCTCCGGTTCGGGCTCCGGTTCGGGCTCCGGTTCGGGCTCCGGTCCAGCCCCGGCTCCGGCTCTCGCTCGGATTGGGCTCGGCTGGGTCGTTCGCACAGAGCTGCTGGAGGCGTTCCCTCGGCGCAGGGAGAGCAGCCGCTCGCCCTCAGGGGTGGGACTGAGGGGTCCTGCTTCCCAGGGTCCCTGTGAGAGAAGGGCCACCCCCTCCCCAGAGATTCGGGCTGGATGGGTCATTGCTTCCCTCGAGTGAGGCAGCAGAGGTTAACCCACGTGCTTCGTTTGGCCCCAACTTTAACAAATAGAGGCGTTTCACGTGAAAAATCAGGCTTTCTCTGAATAATCATAAAATCTGACAGTTACTTGCTATTCTCCATGAAGACGGATGGCCCTATTTTCTAATTTGCCCTCCCCATTTAGCTGTCACCAGATAAAATACTGGTACATACTTGTACTAAAAAATTAAGATTATCTGAAATTCTGAGTTCTCTGGACCTTCTATAATTCAGTTTGCTAAACTTGGCGCTCTTTCCCGCTGCCTCGGCTGGTCTGTCCACTCCAGCCCCTGCTACTACCCTTCTCTCCACCCCATCCTGTGAATTTTGGGACCCCTACCCCGGCCATTAGAGCTCTGGGGTGCGTTTGGCTGGAGGTGGAGTGGGCATTAGAAGTTTTCCACTCCTTTCCCCTTGGGATTTTCAGGGACCGCCTTCTTGGCTCTGGCGGTGGCTTTGGAGGGCTGGTGGGGTTGGTGTTGGTGGTAGCCGCGAGCGTGTGGCTGGGAATGGGGCCCTGGTCTTGATGGGGGACTAGAATGGGGAGGGAAGCTCCTTGGCAGCTGCGGGCTGGGGCCCCCACCCGAGAATCGAGAATCAGGAAGGGGAGGGAACCTGCGGCATTGAGAGGGACGGGCAGAGATCCGGGTAGCCCCCTCCCTGCTTTCCTCCCACCGAGAATGGGGGTGGGGTGGGCCGGGGACAGCTGGGAAGGAGAAGGGAGAAGGGAGAAGGAGCTGATTGAGGGGACTGCAGCTGGGAGGGCGGCGCCCGAAGGGAGGGGAACTGGTGGCGTCCCCATCTCGCGGGGTCCCGGGCGTGACGCGTCGGCGCCCCGCTGATTGGAGCTCTCCTGGCGCCCGGCTGGTGGCCCGGCTGTATAAAGCGGCCTCAGAACTGCGCCCCTTCCGCAAAGGTGACTGAGAGAGGGTCCGGTCTCGCCGCCTGAGAAGCCATGACAGGCAGGGACGCGTTTTTCGACGGGCGTGCCAGGAGTAAGGCGCTGGTGCCTGGAGGGCCCCCCGCCGGCTCGCGCCCACGGGGCTTCGCCATCAACGACTTGCTGGACCTGGAGGCAGAGCTGCCCGCACCTGCGGGTCCCAGGCCGGGATCGGACTGCGAAGGCCCGGTGGCCGCGCCCTGCGGGGATCCAGGGCTCGGGGGCTCTTGCCTGGCCCGCGGGGCCCTCCCGTTAGGGCTCGGCATCCTCTGCGGCTTCGGGGCGCAGCCGCCTGCGGCCGCCAGGGCGCCCTGCCTGCTCCTCGCCGACGTGCCGTTCCTGCCGCCCGAGGGGCCTGAGCCCCCGGCACCGCAAGCCCCCGGCTGCCCGCCGACCCCCGCCGCCCGCCAGAAGCGCAGCGAGAGCGTCTCGACGTCCGGTAATGAGACTGTTCCCTGGCGCTCCTGTCCTTGCCCTCGGCTCCCGCGCACTGGGTAGCACCAGCGCCCCGGATGCAGGGAAGTCGGGACCCCAAAGCGTGGCCCCGTCGGGGAGCGTGTCCTCGCAGCCGCACCCTCCTCCCCTTGGCCTCTCCCACATCCCTGCCTCTCCTCCGGGCCTGGTCGCCGTACCCTCGCGGACACCACCCTGGCCAGTCTGGACCGGCAGTGGGGTCTCGAAGACCTGGCCACAGTCTCCGAGGGCCTCTCCCTCGGCCCGTGCGAGTCTCGGCCTCGGGAATGGCGGAGGTCGGGAGGTCTGGGCCTGCCTCGTTCGTCATTAGCACCGAACCCGGTTCCTGGGGGAACTCCGGCGTTCACTGAATTGATTGCCGTATTGAAGGGCCCCAGAAGAGCCCCGGGCGAAGGCCTGGAACTGTCCTCCTCCCGGTGCTGAAAAGGGAGTCTGCGTACTGCGCTTCGCCGCTCCTCCCGGCACGCGAGGAACAAGCGCGCCCATCTTACTGTGGTCGTGCCCGGTGTTTTGTTCCGAGCCCGCCCGGTTCCTCAGAGAAGTCGGGGCAGATTGTGGGGAGAAGAAAGGAGCAGTGTAAATCTATAGACAGGGCCAAGGAATTGAGAGGTGTGGGTTCTGGGGAAGAGAGCTCCATGAGAAAGCGTGGGCAGAGAGAAACTGTGCAGTAGATCCTAGAGCTGAGCATCCAGGCGGCTAAGGCAAAAAAGTATGTTGGTCTCCACTGACGGAGGAAGCAGGCGGGGTCAGCAGGCTGTCACTCAGCTCTAAAAGGGCTTTACTTCGTGAGTCTCTAGGTAAGAGGAAATGAACCCCCTGTCAGCTGTTCCACTTAAAATGCAGAAACCACCTTCATAGGGTGGGTTCTTTCCATCTGAGCACAGATAAAACTAAGATACAGCTGCCTCCTGGTCTGGGGGCACTTCTGCAAGATGGAGAGGAACTCTAGTGAACAGAAGTATCGGGTGACTGTGAGTGTGATGAAAATTTCTCCAAGCCACATCAAAAAGGAAAAGGAAACAGGTGAAAAACCTAAATACTGTATCTTACTTAACCCAATACATACAAAATATCATTTTATATGTGGCCAATATAAAAATAGTATTTTACTTTTGGGATGTATGAACTCTTCTAAATCCACTGAATATTTAACGTTTGCAGCAGTTCTCAGTTCAGACTGGCCCCATTTCACGTCTTAATAACCTGATGTGTCTAATGGTTCCAGACTGGACAGCATGGATGTTATATTAAAATCCAATTGTCTGGTGAGCTAGTTGATATAGGGGTAAAACTAATACTATTTTTTTACTGTTTTGCCTTTATTAATTTTTTTTAGTATTTTGAAGCAAATATGCTTTTTAACAAGGAATCTGACAATAGTTTGGCCTTCTTCCTTTACACCTAGATCTTTTGATGTAATGGATTTCAAAAGATAAAGAACAGCGGTTTCTGAAAATTTTTCACGTGCATCTAAAACTCATCTGGGCACACTTATCAAGAGTGAGTTTCCCAGCACCCACTTCCAGAGACTGGGAATTGGTAGGGCAGTGGCTAGCTCTGATGAGGGTCCTGATGTCACAACCTCAGCCATCCCTTGGAGAAAGGTTGGTGAATTGGTTAAGATGAAGAAGTGGATGAATTTGGAAGCTGAAGGGGACAGGAAATGCAGTTGTGTTCAAGTAGCCTTGGCTTCGCACAGTCTCATATCCCCACTTCACTGCTGACTACCTGTGTGATCTTGGGCAAGTTACTCAGTCTCTCTCTGCCTGGGTTTCCTCCTCTGGACCAGAGAATCATAGGGCAGCTGCCTTGGAGTTCCTCCAGTTTAAGTAGAACGTGATGATGCATGCGCAATGCGCTATGTGCTATGCGTAATGCTAGCACAGCGTCTGGGATACGGAGAGTGCGAAAAATGCTAGCTGGTATCGGTGAATGTTCACAGTCCCTGACAGTTCACAGCGTCAAACTGAAACCCCGAAAATAAAGTGAAAAATACACTTTTAAGGTCCTCTCTTTCTCCTGTGCTATCAGATGAGGACAGTCCAGCTGAAGATAGGAGTGACCTGAGGGCGTCCCCCGCCCCCGGCAAGAGGAAGAAGCGGAGACACAGGTACCAGCCCCTGACCCCATCCTTGGGACCCGGCATCTGAGAATGTCTGGTCCTGCATTACCGCGGGCCCAGGGCCTCCTGGTCTGCAGCAGGAAAGGCACAGGAGCCGTGTGGGGACAAAATTCTGCCATTCCCAGGGGGCTGCTGGTCAGTCTTTGTAGCATTTTAAAGATCCAATATTGTGGGCCTTTAAAATGGGTCTTCTTAGAATAAGTTGATGGAGTTCATTGAGGAGAAAAAAGGACCCTAATTTAGTTTTGTCTGAACCAAACTGTGGACTTTCCAGAGGCGAATCACTCAGAGGTGAGGTGTCCAGTTATTAAGAGGTGGACTTTCAGGCAGTGGACAAGATGGGGCCCGCACAGGGCCCTCCCAGGCTGGGAAGCCTGGCCACACCCTGTGAACACTCGCCCAAGTGTGCGCTGGGGCCTCCCCGCAGGACTGTTTTCACTGCCCACCAGCTAGAAGAGCTGGAGAAGGCCTTCGGCGAGGCCCACTATCCTGACGTGTACGCCCGGGAAATGCTGGCTGTGAAAACCGAACTCCCCGAAGACCGAATACAGGTGCTGGGCTCCTTTCTCCTCCCAAAGACACCAGTGAAAGTGCTTCCCTCACACGCAGTGAGTCGGCCCACAGCCACCGCTAAACCGCCCAACGCACCCCCCCCAATGCACAAACCCAGGGGCACTCAGGTGCCAGAGCTTCGCTTTGTGTGCATGAGGAGAGGAAGACCCCGGAACCTCCAAGCCTTGTTCCCTTTTATTAAATACGTAAAAATTACTCCTCATGTGCTGCACCTGCAGACTATGTGCCGCTCCCCGGGAAAAAAAAGACCATCCCTCCCCTGCAAACCCTCAAAGAAACCGGTGTAAAGAGCCCGGTGTGGCTTTTCTGCACACGGTCCCCACACCAAGTGCACGTCTAGCCCTGGAACACACTCATTCCACTCCTGGCATTGGTCTTTGTCTTCACAGAAAGCTGGCGTGCGTCTGCTCAGCCTCTGTGCAGACGGCACATTCTCTCCAGGTCAGAAGACAGGCCACCAACTCACTTTTGTAACAGCTTAGCATCACCCAGGGGGAGGGGACAGCTCCGTGGTATAGCTTGTGCACGAGGTCCTGGGTGCAATTCCCCGTCGCTCCATTAAAGAAATAAGCAAATACACGAACCTCCCTCCCTCCCTCCCCAAACAACAGCAGCAAAAATGACACCCCGCACTGTTCTTTTATTGAGACAGAGCAAGCGCCAACCCGCGGTTCGAAGCGGCCATCGCTGGGGCGAACGGCTCCAGTCAGTTACACGGTGTGGAAAGCTCTCGTTTTGTTTTGTCCACCTCGACTCTATGGGCGCCTCGGTGGAAACCGGGCACGCTCGCCCAGCCCAGCCAGTCCCCGAGCCCCCGGCAGCCCGGCCCCGGGCGCCCCGACC